TCTTCAATAAGTCTTCCATTACGGAAAACTTTTCCTCCATCTGACTTTGAAAATAAGTCATCTTTTCCTCAAAATCTGCTTTGAGTTGCCGAAGTTCTCCCTCCAAAATTTCCACTTTTTTTCCGGCCATTGGTTCCCCTTCGATCGACGTGCTCTGATACCAATTTGATAGGAAATACTTGAGTTCTCAAGTAACCCTAATGTAATACTTGAGTTCGCAAGTAACCCTAACCCAAATCGGAGATCAAAGAGCGAAGATATTGTTGTCCAGAACAGAAAACAGCAGAAATATGTTGTTTACAGCAGAAAGACAGCACCAATCCAGAGAAATTCTGAGAGAAAACTCAAAGGAAAGTTGGTATTCCACTAGACGATGAATAAAATAGCAAGATACAATTGATCCTCAATTCGAGAGGAGGATCGATCTCTCCCAAATCTCTAGACGCCACTAGAGCCTAAAGAAACCTAAATCTAAGAGATCTCAAATTTCAGCCAAATTCAAGATACTCAAACCCTAGGAAAATCAACTATTTAATGCATACAAATCAAAATGAATTCCCTAAACAGTCCCTACATTCAATTTCCTTCCTAAAATCCATTCAAAAACCTTCCTCTTCGGCCCTGTTTGATCCAGGCGGGCGTGCGGCTGAAATGGGAGGCGGAACTTTCGCCCCGTTGTGGCTGGGCCGGTCCTGCGCGGACCGGCTGGACCGGTCCATTGGACCGGTCTAACACCATCCTCGTCCCACGTTATTCCGTAATCAGTCTCTGAATCCGCCATTCATGGATGATTGAAGGTAGATTCTTCTTAGCTCTTGAGACAACTCTTGAGTACTAGCAAAGAGAAGAAGTTTCTTTCTAGTGGCGAGGAAAATAATCCCCAAATCTCCTTCCCAAAAATCTGAGAACAGTTTCATATTTTTGATCCAAAATCTGAAAGAAATTTCAAATTTTCTATGATTAGGAGATAGGGAATTTGGAGGGAGAAATATGGCTTCAACTCAAGTGGGGTATTCAAGAGGGAGAGAGGAGATTAGAGAGAAAGAAGGAACTGAAGAGATAGGGAGGAAGGGGCTGGCGGGATAATAGGTAGAGCTGCAGGATTCCTATTTCTTAATTCAATTATTTGATTTGGGAAATAGATTAGGAAATAGAGCTCAGGAAATTCGGCTATGGGATTAATAATTTGAAAAATATTTCCTAAGGTCGGAGTAGGAAATAGGAAAGAAATTTCAATCCCAAATTCAAGGGGGAAGGAGGCCGGCGGTATCCATAGGGAAAGAGGGGATTTGGGAGTTGATTTTGGGATTAATTAAAGAGGTTAGGGGAATTATAAAAGTAATTAAATAAATCCAATTTGAATTTGAAATTCAAATGGATTTAATTTAAAAACTTTCCTAAAATAGATTTGACAAATTAGGAAAGAATTTGAATTTCCAATCAATTAAATTTGAATTTCAAATCTACCCAAGTTTGAATCAATCTAATTTAGGAAACGAGGCTTGGATGGGGAATAGGGAGTTTGGCCGGCGGCTAGGGGAGTTGGGGCCGGCAGATGTGGGGTTCGGGCAAGGGTTTAGACGTGGGGGTTGAGATGGGAAATTGTGTGGAGTTAGGTAACGAAGACGTGATGGATTGAGGAGGAAGATGTTAGATGCAAGGTTGATCGACTGTGGAGGTGGAAGGAGAACGACAAAGGAAAAGTATGAAAACCACGAACCCGACCGTCTCCAAGGTTGGTGGCTGATCCACTCTCCCTCTCCTAGGGATCTCTCCAAAGTTCTCTCCAAGAACTCTCAAACGCTCTCAAACACAAGAGTGGGAAAATTTTCTCATAATCATTCATTAACCGAGAAATAATAAGCAAAGAGCTATATATAGCCAATTACAATGGACTCAAAGAAATAAAAGACTAAATTGCCCTTAGGGCTCATACATGACACTTCCCACTACAACAACAACAACAACAACATCAAGCCTTTATCCCACTACGTGGGGTCGGCTACATGAATCCTTTTGAATTTCAAATTCATCAAAATTTGACCCAACCTAAATTAGGAAACTTCTAGGAGATGATGAAGTGGAGGTGGCCGGCGGCTTTAGGGGGGTTGGGTGGAGATTTGGCCGTGGGGGTTAGGAGGTAGGGGAGGGAGTTCGGCTAGGTGGAGGGGAAAAGAAAATCCGGTGGCTTTGTGATGGTGGATTGGAGGATGAAGAAAGAAAAGATATGAGTACAGAACCATGAACCCGACCTATCTAGGTTGGTGGGTATTGCACGATCTCCCTAGGGAACTCTCTCCATTAGAATGCTCAAGCTCTCTCAAAACTCATGCGAGAAGAAATTTTAATAAGCAATCATTCATTAACCATGAAATAATAAGCAAAGGCTATATATAGCCAAGTACAATTGACTCAAAGAAATAAAAGCCACTTTCACCCTTAGGGCTCATACATGACACTTCCCACTAAAGGGGTACAAATGGAAAGACCAAAATAACACTAAGCAAATAGAAAATACATAAATAATAAAATAATAGAAATGACTCAGAAATATAAAGACTTGATCATGGCCATAGATCAGCGGCCACGCCTCTGATAGACCTTCCATGATCTGATGTCCCCATCAAATGATGAACTATTTAGAATTTTTTTGGAGTGGAAAGCTCTATAACTATGAAGTTCTAAAGCAAATTTGGAGTGCTCCATCATACGGTCTATATTGCTTCCCTCGATTATAGAGTATTTATCAAGCATTCAAGTGTCTAAATGATGTCATAATTGAGTAATATTGGGCTCGTTGAGCTGCTCGATTGACTATAAACATGTCTAATTTGAAGATCATTCAGTCATTCAATGAATGATCTGAAGCTTTCAAATATACTTTAAGCCCTTGGTTTGAGCCAATTTTGGCTCGAATTAGATCGATTTTGTTGTCACTAAGTTTGTCTTGTCGAGACATTCAATTTGACTGCAAGTTTGCTTTTATTGAAGTTCAAATGACGCCAAATTTAATTTTTTAAATTTGCAAATCAAATGTGCCTCAAGATTTGTGCCTGCTCAAGATGATTTTTGTGATGTATCAATTATTATTTACTATTATTAGCATTTGGTAAATGAGAAGTATTTGGAATCCCATTTTATTAGTTATAAATTTAGTCAATAAATCATTCATTATAATGCCTAAGCAGTTGGCTAGTCAACAACAACAACAAGTCTTTATCCCACGATGTGGGGTCTGCTTTATGAATCCTTTTTATCCATTGTGCCTAGTTAAGAGTCAATTTCTCAGCTAAATCTAATAAAGAAATGTCATTTCTAATATTTTCTAACCAAGTCTTTTCAAGTCTACCTCTACCTTTTTTAGCATAAGTCAAATTTAATACATCTACTTTCCTAATCGGGTCATCAGAAGGATGTCGTTTTATGTGACCAAAACATCTAAAGAGACTTTCTAATCTTATCTTCCACTGGAGCTACTCCAACCTTTTCACATATATGCTTGTTTTGTATTGTCTCTAAGAGTAAAGCCACTCATATACATGAGCATCCTCATCTCTGCAACACTTAACTTAATATTATGCTTCTCTTTTAATGGCCAACATTCTACACCCTAAAGCATTGCACGTCTCATTACCATCTTATAGAATTTTCCCTAAGTTTGAGAGGGACTTTTCTATCACACTTCAAGCCCGATGCATTCCTCCACTTCAACCATTCAACTTGAATTCAACTACTAATATGCTCATCTATTTCACCATCACTCTGAACAATAGATCCAAGATATCTAAAACGTATACTTTTATTAATGACTTGATCGCCAAAAGTCACAATCCCCACTAGATCTATTATTACTAAAATTATAAACTATATATTCAATTTTAGATCTACTCAAACGAAAGCCTTTAAACTCTAAAGTTGATCTCCATAATTCAAGTTTACCTTCAACTCCCAAAAAGCATATGCCAGCATACAACCTCTTGCAGATGTTTAGTAAGAACATCCATAACTAAAGCAAAAAGATATGGGCTTAGGGATGATCCTTGACGTAATCCAATTGAAATAGGAAATACTTGATCAAGCCATTTGTGTTTGAACACAAGTAATAGTTCATGCATACATATACTTAATGACTTGAATATATGCATTAACTCTCCATAACTCTTCTCTTGAAACTTTATCATATGCTTTCTCTAAATCAATAAAAATTATATATGTATCCTCCTTAGTCTCTCTATACTTTTCCATCAAACCTCTCAATAAATGTATAGCTTCCATAGCAAGCCTACCTGGCATGAAGCAGTTGACTAGTATGGTGGAAAAATCTAAGGTAGAATGCAATTACTACTTTTCACCCCATATGGTTTCTTGAAGCTGGAAAAGAAGTTTTAAAAATGCTTAATTTACTAAATTCTATCGTTTTTTAATATTATTAAAAATATTGAACTCTAAAATACCATTACCGTTAAAATTCATTTACAATGATTTGATTTCATTTTCACCCACGAAAGGATGAAAAAAAGCATTATTTTAAACAAAAAAATAATTTCTATCTACAAGCAACCAAATCAGCCTTTAGGATTGAATCATAGCTCCTGTCCTAAGAAAAATGTAGTTTTATCGTTCCACAAGGTCAATTTGTGAAATTCTGCAGCCTAATTTTTCCCTTAACAAAAGTGCGCTATGCAGAGTTAATTGCATAACAAACTATTTATTTCATTAATGGCATTTTGAGAATTTTATTATATTACTGGTTGCCCTAGATTTTTCTTTGAAAAGAGAGAAATTATTTCATGTTTGTATAAGAGAAGTTAAGGTTGCAATATCAACTATCAAATCATAGTGAAATCTTTTGTGATAACAACATCACTCAATCGACAGCAATCATCAACTTAATGACTTGCATAAAGTTTTTTGCCCATTATCTTCTTTTCTATTTTTTCTGTTTTTTTTTCATCACTTTCAGTGCTTAAATTACATCTTCTACTTGTGTTTTTCTTTAGCTTTATCCAGGAGCATGTTTGGAATCAAATAATAATGTGAAGGACGAATGCCACAAAGAAGGAAGGCTATGGTATACCAAAGGATGCCCAAGCAAATTTGGATGGATTGCAGTGGTTGGGTTAGCTCTTTACATCATATTCTTTTCTCCTGGAATGGGAACTGTCCCATGGATTGTAAATTCTGAAATATATCCTCTAAGGTTTAGGGGAATTTGTGGAGGAATTGCTGCTACAGCTAATTGGATCTCTAATCTTATTGTGGCTCAGTCATTTTTAACTCTAACACAGGCAATAGGAACATCAATGACTTTCCTGATTTTTGGGGTGATATCAGTGTTTGCTCTATTTTTTGTGTTGATTTGTGTTCCAGAAACAAAGGGTCTGCCGATCGAGGAGGTTGAGAAAATGTTGGAAAAAAGAGTTTTACAATTCAAATTCTGGAAGAAAATGTCTGTTAAGACAAAGCATCCTGCTGAAGTGCAGAAGAATTCAGATGTTTGATACTGTTTTAAATAGCTTTTAATCTTTGTAATCTATGATATGTAAGGGTTCTCTAAAAATCTTGTTGTTTGTCGATCGTATACGGCTCGATAGTTAGGTTGAGCTCAATCAATTTGTATAAGTTTGGTCATGTTTGGTTCAATAATAACTTGATTATGCATATATTTTCGATCATGTTCGATCTTGTTGGATCATTTATATTCTTATTTATAAATGTTTTATGGATGTATGTGCATACAAAAGACTATATCTTCTTTGACTCAACTTAAGTTCAGCTTGATATATTAACAAGTCTAACACAAACAAAAAATTTTGACTCATTTGCTTGATAAGAGCAAAGTCAAATAGCAATGCTCAGATCCTTTATACCCTTATTTCTATGGAGGCATTTGAAGGTTTAGTAAAGGATTATCATTTTTTGATATTTATTCTGACAAGAGATTTGCAGTGCTATATGATAAGTTTTCAAAATGGGTTGTTATAGAAGCGCTCAACTTCATATGCTCTACAGTTCATCAATTTTTCATACTGCAGCATCCTTGCCGTTGATGGTTCAGCTAGTATAATCTGAACTACTGGCTTATAACTTCGTATTATGTATTATATATATAAAAGTAATGGAGACAATACATAAATGTATAAAGCTGTATTCTACTAATTCTTGTTCTTGTTCTTACTGCTATATCGAATCTGCTATATCTAAATTGCCGCAGAAGTTTACCATGGCATCAGCGCCTCACGCATCTGATGCCTTCGGTTTTTAACCCTTTTTTTCCATCTTTATTCCTGCTTTAGTCTTTCTTGCTTTACTACGACGACAACATTAAGCCTTTATCCTAATATGTGGGGTCGGCATCCTCATCTCAGCAACACTTATCTTAATATTGTGCTTCTCTTTTAACAGCCAACATTCTACGCCAGAAAACATTGCAGGTCTCACCACCATCTTATAAAATTTTAACTTAAGTTTGGGTGGTACTTTCCTATCATATAACAAACCCGAAGCATTCCTCCACTTCAACTATCCAACTTGATTTATACTAATAATATCATCATCTATTTCACCACCACTCTGAACAAAAGATCCAAGATATATAAAACGAGTACACTTATTAATGACTTGATTGGTCAAAGTCATAAACCACCCACTAGATCTATTAACACTAAAATTATACTCAATGTATTCGGTTTTAGATCTACTCAAACAAATACATTTAGACTCTAAGATTGACCTCAATAATTCAAGTTTACCTTCAACTCTCTCTCTCTAGTCTTATTAACAAGAAGAATATCATCAACAAAAAGCATACACTAAGGTGCATCTTCTTGCAAATGCCCGGTGAAAACATCCATGACTAAAGAAAAAAAGATGAGGGCTTAAGGCTGATCCTTGATGTAATACAAGTGAAATAGGAAAATACTTGGTCAAACCACCTTGTATTTGAACACAAGTAATAGCTCCTGCATATATATCCTTAATGACTTGAATATAAGCATTATTAGCTCCTTTCTTTTTTAGAACTCTCCATATCACTTCTCTTGGAACTTTATCATAAGATTTCTCTAAATCAATAAATATCATATGTAGATCCTCCTTATTCTCTCTGAACTTCTCCATCAGCCATCTCAATAAATGAATAGCTTCCATAGTAGACCTACCCGGCATTAATCCAAATTGATTTTGAGAAATATTAGTATCATGTCGTAACCTATGCTTCATAACTCTCTCCCAAAGTTTTAAAGTATGACACGTTAACTTAATTCCTATATAATTGGCACAATCTTGTGCATCACATTTATTCTTAAAAAGAGGAATCAACACACTCATTCTCCACTCATATAAAATCTTTTTAGTCTTCAAAATAATATTAAAAACGAATAAGCCAAGAAATTCTTTCATCTCTTTAGCATTTCCACACCTCTATTGGAATATCGTTAGGCCAACTAGTTTTTCCTCGATTCCTTTTCTTTAAAGCCTCTCTAACTTCAATTTTACTAATACGCCGATAAAAATAAAAATCTTTATTTTCTTTTAGAGTGTTAAGGTCACTAAAGTCAATCATATTCTCATAATCTTCATTGACTTAACGAAATATCTCATCCACCTTTATTGAATATCCTCTTCTAAAAAAGAACTTTTTGATCTTCATCCTTAATACACTTCACTTGAACTAAATCCTTATTACTTCTATTTCTTTGTTTGACTAACTTATACATATTTCATCATTTTTAGAATATAATTTATTATATAAATCATTAAATACTAAAATCTTTGCATCGTAGATTGTTTTTTTATACAACCTTGCGAGCCTCTTTATATCTTTCCCAATTTTTAGAGTTTTTACATTTAAATAAATTATTATAACAAAGCTTCTTATTTTTTATTTTTTCTTACACATTTTGATTCCACCATGAACTATTTTTATTATTAGAATCTTTTACTTTTGAAACTCTAAGCACATCTTTTGCAACATTCTTAATATTACTAGCTATTTTTTCCCCACAAAATATTCATTTTCTCATGCACAAGCAAAATCTTAAGATCTCGAATCTTACAATTAAAAATATTTTTATTAGTTTTCTTTAAATTCCCCAATCTAATTTTAGAACAATGCTTAACTTTGTTTTTCATATTCTACCCATTCATCTTAATGTCCAAAATTAATAAGCGATGTTGGGTACATAAACTTTCACTCAGATTAACTTTATAATATTTGAAATCTAAATGATATATTTTTCTTATAAGAAAATAATTAATCCTGGTTTTACTATATCCATTCTTGTAAGTGATGAGACACTCATCCATTTTCTTAAATAAGATATTAGCAATAACAAAATCATAACCTAGAGTATAATCTAATCTAGTCTTACCATTTTCATTAGTCTCTCCAAACCTATAGCCACCAAGAATATTTTTAAAATTTTCTGCCTCTTTACAAACATGTTAATTTAAATTTCCTCCAATAACAATTCTTTCTTCAAGAGTTTTCTTTTGAATTAATTCTTCAAAGTCATTTGAAAATTTTAATTTTAAACACATATCAAATCTACTTGAGGAGAATAAGCACTTATAATATTAATAATATTAACATCAACATAACAATAATCTTCAAAGTAATAATTTTGTCTCCAATTCTATTAATTTTATAAATTATTCTTCAAAATCTTATTTATAATCACATATACACTATTTCTAGTACGATTTCTATCAGAATACCAAAATTTAAATCATAAGCTATCAATTTTCTTAGCATTCTCTCCAACCTATTTAGTTTTATGAATGCATAAAATATTTATCTTCCTATGAATTAAAAATTAATTAATTTCATTAATTTGCTTGTAAGAGAACATATATTATAAGATCTTATCCATATTATAGTTTCATGTATTAGCTTCTTTGCCCACATCTATCCATGATGTTGGAACCCTTGCCTATTTAACATTGCACTTAGGTGTCGATGCAGCGACCCTTGCATGCATACTTCACACTATATTCAAGATATATAGTGCATCATTTCTAGGGAACTCCCTAGCATTAACATAATATATTAAATGATTCATGTTATGATTATCTAATGTCACCTTCCACTTTTCTCATTCAGGACTTAGGGCTTGTCAAACACAGTGCTGATAAGAAATGGATCATTCAATAGATTCTTCTTTTATCACTTTCTTATTACACTCCCCTTAAAATTAGTAATATACATATTACCACATAGCTCAAATTTTTGATGTCAAATATATAATCTATGATTTGTATTCAACTAAGAATATATAATCATCCTATTTAGTGATCACAGATTCTATATTTTGTGTGAATGGATTTGATAGCAATCTTGATGGCAATACACCAAAATCTCTTAAACAACATGTGCCTGGTGATGACACTATTAGTGTTAGCATTCAATTTCAAACATGAATACTTATTGATCAAAATCTTTCTAGAACTCTCTATTCTACAATTTCCCCTTTTTATTCCATATGTTCTTAATTTATATTCATATTATAGCATTTGGTTAACGATTGAGCATTGCTTGCAATTTACCAATCACTCTCCCATCCTCCAATGAGAAAATGAACTTCATCAATAACATGTAGAAGATAAATCAATGGTGTAATATTTATTATAAATCAAGCAAAAAGCTAATGTTATTATGGTTATTAGCTCTAACATTGATTCAATAGATATCATATTTTATACACTTAATGAAATTCCTTCCTTCTATAATGCTTTCAAAACTGTTATTTGCATTGAACTGCATCACTTCAATTTCTCTATGGATTGTTGCGTAGTGAGGAGCTTGACATTACTTCTGATCAGGCTCGAGACAAGCTCTTGATAGTTCGATTGACTCTCCATTTTCTCTTGCATATTTTCATGGTTGCCTTCGTAGTTGTTCCTCATATGTTCCTATTGGTCATGGCACAGGTCCTCTTCTGACTCTCGTGGAGGTCATTCTGCTCAGCATTCTACTCATGACTGACAATTTATGGCATCTTACCTTGAATGCCAAATTTGTGGCAGAATTGGATACATTACGATAAAATGTTAGAATTGTACATATCTCAATTATTAGTCTGCTTTGCAAGGCTTTCACTCACATGAAGATGCCTTCTCTACTGATTAGTTTTTAGGCTTTTGGGACTCTAGCCATCTAACGTCTGATGCTTATCAACCTCAATCCATTCAACCATATTCTGATTCCTCTCAAGTGTAGGTTGGTAGTTGTAATATGATTTCAATTGAGCATTCCGGTCAAAGCATTCTACCTAATTTTCATATGCTTTGCTTGCCTAATAGTTTATATGCTTCACATATTTTTCATTACTTCATCTCTATTCATCAACTTATTATTAACAACCTATGCTCCATTCTCTTTGATGCTCATGGTTTTACCATCAAGGACTTAAAGGCCAACACAATTCTTCTCTAGGGTCTTTGTCTTCAAAGTAGTTGATTAAATCCCTCAATCGCACATTCCAATAGTCCTCCAAACCTTCTATTGTAGCATTCATTAGCCCTATACTTCCAATTTCTAGCATTAGTGAATGGGACACTTTTCCATAGCTACTCAACAACTAGTTTTTTGCTCATTTTCTTTTCTATAAATCAACTTTAGCATCTGCTTACTGCTCCTCTTGTGCTCATGAAAAATTTCATGGTCAACCTTTTACTTTAAATAATCCTAGAACTACTTAATGTCTTGAATTTATGTATACTGATG